GGGCATATATTCAGAGGGAACTCTAATTCAAAAAGACACATGCACCCCAATGTTCACAGCAGCACTATTTACAATAGCCAAGACGTGGAAGCAACCTAAATGTCCATCAACAGAGGACTGGATAAAGGAGATGTGGTATATTTATACAATGGAATATTACTCAGCCATAAAAAAGAAAGAAAGAAAGAATGCCATTTGCAGCAACATGGGTGGACCTGGAGATTGTCATACTAAGTGAAATAAGTCAGAATGGGAAAGAAAAACATCATATGATATCACTTATACGTGGAATCTAAAAAAAAATAAAATAAAAACAAATGAACTTGGTTACAGAATAGAAACAGACTCACAGATACCAGGGGGGTAAGGGAGTAGGAAGGGATAAATTGAGAGTTTGAGATTTGCAGATACTAACTACTATACATAAACTAGATAAACAACAAGTTTCTTCCGTGTTGCACAGGGAGCTCTGTTCAATACCTTGTAGTGACCTAGAATGAAAAAGAACATGAAAACAAATACATGCATGTATCTGTGTGGATGAAACATGAAGTTGTACATCAGAAATTGACACAACATCGTAAACTGACTAAAAAGTCATGTCTTAAGGCTGAGGGGGGTCTTCAGGCTGTTTGTCCTTTTAGAGATGGTTTCCTTGCTCCCAGCTGTCTAGGGGTTTGCTAAGAGGCCCCACAGCGACTCCCCCAAACCTCACCACCACTGCCTTCTGCTTGATCATGAACCACCTAAATGTACTATTGCCAGACTTTGTCATGACACAGCTAGTCACTGCGTCCACTTTTTTTTTCTTTTTCAGGTAAGGACACAACACAAGAGCAACAGGATATGCCGTCTACGATAGAGCGTGAATAGCCGTGGGGCCCCCAGCTCCCTGTGCTGAAGGACCCGGATCACACTCTGCCAAGCCAGGAGCCGTCTGTGGGCACACGTGTCATCTGCATCCTCCAGCTCTCTCGTCAGTCCCGGTTGCTGGGAGCGCGCCCTGGCCAGCTCAGACGGGGGCAGGAGAGACACGCGGCTCTTTCCTCCTGGGAGACAAACAGAGGCCATGCTGCCAAGACAAGGAGCCTGGGAAATTCCTGGGTGTGGGGCTCGTCAGGCTCTGGAATTAACAGAACATGACGCAGTGGAGTGGGGAGCATGCAGTGGGGCGGACACAGGCCTCTGTGAAGAGTCCAGAAACCAGGGCTCCCCTGTCTGCACTGCTGCCCACCCACTGTGAGACCCTCAGGGCCTGCCCTGGACCTCCCTGGACCAGCGGCCTTGGCTGGCTCCCAGGATCCCCCAGGCTTCTGAACCCTCCCTCCTCCCACCCACCTGGAAGGGTGTCACCCAGGTCTTAACGAGAGGCCTGGCTCTTGTCGCTGCAGCAGCTGAGAGGGGTTTTGGGGAGGTGGGAGATGCAGTTCAGAGAGAACGAGCTAGAGGATAAACCGTGCTTTCCAGCACGGAACCCTCCGCCACAGATCCATTTCAAGCCCAGGCACGCCTGTGGCCACGAGCCCTGCTCTGTCCATTAAATCATCTGAACACTCACCGCCCTTCCTTTCCAAGAACTCGCCGCAGCACCACCCCGAGAGTCCCTCCCATTCCTCTCCTGCATTTACACACCTGATCCTCCGCCTACTCAGGACCGGTAGCTGGCCAGCCGGCGTCAGGTTTCTGTAGTGATCTAACAGCTGTTCCAGACACCGATCACAAGAGCTGACAGTCAGAGGTGCCACCCACATCGCCCTGCACAAGGAAGTCTGCTAGCCCCTGATTTCAGGTCAGCACCCTTGATTCTATGTGTGGAGCCAGCTAGGATTCCTGGATGAGGCTCAGAAACAGTCAGGAAATTCCTGCAAGAAGTCAACCGGGAGAGCGGGTTCGAGGTCAGGACCAAGGCCAGGGTCTGACACCCCGCATCCTGGAAGCGTCACTTAAAGTATGCCTCACCTCAAGCAGCCCTCCCACATCTCCCGAGATTTTGAAGACAGAGAGAGAGAGAGAGAGAGAGAGAGAGAGAGAGAGAGAGAGAGAGAGAGAAGAGAGTGAGAGACGACGACGACGACGACGACGAGGAGGAG